GTGATTCTTTATTGAGGCTGTTAGACACATATATGCTCTGTAACTCCCTGGCTCTCTGCTTTGCCAACTGAGATACACAGCTTGTGCTGCCCCACTCAGTGTCTGCCTAAATCCCAGTCTAATTGGAGTAATCGTGAAATGGATTACTGAGGAATAGATTACACTACAGGATGGAAGATTCAAACTGGGTTTTGTCTTACTCATCACCACTAGTAATAAAGGTTCTTCTGGCTAATTCATTTCTTCAGCACCACCTGTGCAACTCCATGGTCTTCAGTAGGTTTGCAAAGGGTGCACCTAAGGACTAAGCTGGTTCTGTTGATGGTGATGTACAAGAAGGCATAGAATCCAGTTTATCATTAGCTGAGTTGACTCTGCAGTGTTAAGAGGAGTAAAAAGGAGTAACATCTTATTTTAGTCACTAATCTAAGGAGCTGTGATTCTGAATACCCCCAGGGAATAGGTCTATTGAATAAGAAGGGCACATTTCAGAATAGAATCACACTTTCTAGTAATGCTGTCATTTCTTTTACATTTTAATTTGATGCTTTTTATGCTCATGCTGGGGGTGTTAGCTGCACTGACTTTGCTGTTTCTTCACAAGCCACAGCATAAGTCTGAGTCCCAGTTTGCATTCTTCTCTCAGCAGTCTTCAAATAGCTCTTTCAATTCATCCTAGTCCTAACCTGCATCTCTGTGATTTCATAGGAAAATGTGCAAGGAGAGGAACACTTGTCATACCTTGGAATCTTGGCAGGGTCAGAACAGAGAGAGATTTCCAATGCAGCAATTGTTCTCAGTGCAGAACTGGCTGAGATTCAGTGCAGACAGGGGAAGCAGCTTGTTCTTGTCCCATTGTCTGTGTATCTACAGGAAATCCTGGCCTTGATCCTAACCCTGTGGATACCTGGACTGCTGCATAGAGGCATTCTTCTTCTGCAGTTTCCATAGGTTTGCCCCAGCCATGGCAAAACAGGTGGCCCAGCTGCTGTTCTGCATCTAGCTGACACCATCTAGTTACCCGCACCTTGCAGTCCCACTGATGAAGTCACAGAGTTTGGAAGGGATAGTTAAGGCCGTCTCTAACAACATTAACTAATCTATTTTGTAATATTTTTGAGGCTATGTGGGAGGGAAAGTATGCTACCTAGAATGGCTGTTCCTCTGATTCTCTTTCTGTTGCCTGGATTCCAGCAGGTAGATGGTCTACATGGATAATTAGAAGAGAGAATGCACAGAAGGGAGAATGTGTCACATAGCTTCCATTTCATGCTGCACAGTCCCAGCAGGTTTTCCATGGCCATGCTCCATGCTGTGCTTCACAAACAGTGAACTGAAACAGCAAACAATAAACCCAACAGAGGAGAGCTTGAAGAAGCCACTGCACCAGCTCAGTCAGTTACTCTGGGAGGAATTCTGTGCCACTGTGCATGTGCAGAATTCATGTGTCTCGCTTTTCTCCCCCAAAAATATATTCTGCTGGAGAGGTGCTGCAGTTACACTTTTTCCCACCAGGGCCCGCTGTGGTGCCAAAACAGAGCAGCTGGCTCACCGGCAGAAGCAGCTGGCTGTTTTCCTCACAGCACCCTGCCCACTGGGCCAGGTTAGAAGGCCCAGGATATGATGGAGGACAGATAGAGTGAGGCACATGGGGCTGCTGGAGGATCACATAGACTGGTGTTCAGAAGGGCTAGTGGGGTGAGACAGACTGGGGCAGGGGCTGAATGGGAGTGGGGGTGCAGGGCCACATGGGGATGGGGGCAGGAGAAGCAGGGTCACACGGGGCTGGCAGGGTCTGAGTAGGGGTGCACGGACACATGGGCAAAGGGGGTGCAGAGACACATGGGGACAGGCAGGGCGGCTGAGCGGGGATGCAGGAACACATGGGGATGGGTGAGGGGGGTGAAGGGCCACATGGGGACAAGTGCAGAAGTGGCTGAATGTGGGTGCAGGGACACATGGAGACAGGTGCAGGGGTGGCTAAGTGGGGATGCAGGGACACATAGAGACAGGGGAAGGGGGAGCAGGGACACATGGGGATGGGGGAAAGGAGTGCACAGGGACACATGAGGACAGGGGCAAATGTTCTTGACTGAATGGGAGGGGCTGGGGTCATGCGGGAGGCTCCCCAACTCCCTAAGAATCCATCCCGCTATCCAATACTTCTCCCACCCACACCCAACACTCCAGATTCATTCTCAGGCTTCTTCCCAGCAATTACTTCCCTCTCCCTCAGCTACTCTGTTACCTCTGACTCCACCAAGCTTTCGCACTGCTTGTGAGGGGTGCGAGAAATGCATTTCTGTATTGTAGTTTAAGTGAATTATTACTCAGAGTTCTGTATATGCTTAGTAAAGAATCTATTTGTCAAGAAAAAAATTCTTGAATCTTTTTTATTGTCTGTATTGTTACAGACATACTTGCTGGCAGGTATTATTAAATAAATTACCAACATTTATTCTACAGTGTTATTTTGACAAATAAAATTTGCCAAAATTTAAAATATTGTGCACAGAATTTTTAATTTTTTGGTGCAGAATTCCCCCAGGAGTAGTCAGTAGAAAGAAACCCTTGAGCAAGTTTAGCATTCCTTTCAGCATTCATAATGGGACATGCAAAGCCTAATATATGGCAAGGAGACATTTCCTTTAAAATGTTTTATTACAACTTTTTTTTAGTTATTTAATCTTCTTGCTCATAAAGCTCCCTTTCCCCCCTCATGCAATGTAAGTCTCTGACATTTTAGTCTAGCTGAAATGAAACAAAAAAAAAGCTAGAAGTAAAATCAATTCCTTGTCACTGGAATGTCCCCAAGTGTTTGGTAGTTAATGTTAGATGTTGAAATGCGAGAATTCTGTTAACCAGTTAAAAACTGAAATGGTTTGCTAAATAATCTTGCTAAAAAGGTACCAATTGAGTATGGATATATTTGCTAGTTATGCCAAATTCAATTAATGAATTGATTCAGTGAAAGAGTAAATAATTAATTGAAGCAGATAAAATTGCTAATGCTGTCCAGTCTCTGTGGCAGTCGGAAAGGAGCCAAACATGAGGGAGCTTAAAAGGAATTGGAGACACCAGTGTTGTGATTCTTCCACCAATGGAATGGCAGTAAATGTCCCAGTGGCAACGGAGGTAGTGATCAGACAACACATTTTTAAACAAAGCATTCCTTCTCCACCCTAAAGGCAAAATGGAGTTTAACATGTTGTTAGTTAACAAATGTTCTAACAGGAGTACTTGTGGTACTTTAGAGACTAACAAATTTATTTGAGCATAAGCTTTCATGGGCTACAGCCCACTTCATCAGATGCCCACAGCTGTAGCCCACAAAAGCTTATGCTCAAATAAATTTGTTAGTCTCTAAGGTGCCACAAGTACTCCTGTTCTTTTTGCGGATACAGACTAACACAGTTGCTACTCTGAATCCTGAAATGTTCTAACATGATCCATTTTTCCCAGTGTAGAAGATGCCATCTCAAGGGTAGAGGAGTATGCATTGCCCCACCAGTTTGCTGAGACTTCCTGTCAGTTCAGACTACAGAGATGTTAATTGACACCTGAGAAACAGCCCGTTTATTCTGAATTTCCTTTTGAAGGACAATTTATGTGAACACTTTCAGGTCAAAGTCTCCTTTGAAATACCAATTACTTGGAATTGGCCTTTACCACCCTGAGATATTTGTATATCAAAGGGCATTCATGCACCCAGCCTGTCTGTTTTAATGAACCTTGAATTATATGAATATTTATTTGTAATAAAAAAAATCTCAACACAATTGTAATTTGCATCATTAATACTCTAGTAGCCTGGCATTAGCTAATGACACCCAAGTGTAATGTTGCACATAAAAATGATTCTACTTTATTCCTTTGAACTGATTGGCTATCCTGGCTGTTTATATATTCAAGATTCACAGAACCTGTGTTAGAAATAAAACTGGATGTTCTGACTGTACGTAATTGCTAACTAATGGCTTCAATATTTTTACTGCAACTCCCTTCTAGCTGAACCAGCAGGAGAAAGTAAGTTGGTAATAGTGTGGTGTCAGGCAGTAATATCACAGCTAGCTCCTGGTATTCAGCACTGTCTATTGTATTCTTCCAGTTGCATTTACTGTTCAAGCCTGAGACAAAATTTCCTTCCCAGATCAAATCCTCAGAAGAATAAAGCCTCATTGTACGGTGTGTACTTACATACAAAATCTCTGGCCATCCTTAAATCCCCATGCTTCTTTAATTACATAAGTTATTTTGGATACACTGTAAACTATCTCACCACAACCGGCACTAGCTGGCACCTTGTTAGCATCTCTCCAGCACACAGTTGAAGCATATTGGTGTGGCAATTTGGGGAAGACTGACCTTCCACTGCCCGCACTATACCTATTATCGCCCTGAGCCAGCACGGTAGCTGAGAAGACCCATAGCTGAGAATCTTTGAATCGAGAAAACAAAATTAATTTTGTGACTAAACAAAATTTACCTGGAGTGGAGGTAGTTTATAAAGTTTAGATCATCCAATCGGAGTAAGAAAGTGGGTTAAGTCCTTCAATCAAGGTATAGGAACTAGGCCTTAAGACATGGGTGACCCATCACGAAGCATGTCTAGTGACTCTAATCAGACAAATAAATGAATATTCACTCAGGATGATTTGACTACAACCCACTGTGCAATGTGTTCATAAGAACTATTCATGGAGTACCATTGTCAAATATGTTAATTAAAATTATTCATCAACCTAATTAAAAGAAACAGTCATAAAAATCACGATCTATGTACAGACAATTTGCAAACAGAAAATAGGGCTAAATTCACTGAATAAATTGATTTCAAAATGTAGTTCTATCCTATTAAGTACCATGTGCAGTCTATTTGGAGCAATTACCATCATTCACTCCAGATGTCCAGAGGTAAAAGACTTGAGCTACTCCACTCAACAATCTTTCTCTAGATATTGTTTATTTTAGTTTGGAAACATTTGTCTCTCCCATCACAGGTAATCAGCGAGTTTGAAGCCTCTCCTGACTCATTTTCCTACAGAATCCCCAACTTGAGTCGGAATCGACAATACAGTGTCTGGGTGGTGGCTGTCACTGCTGCAGGAAGAGGCAACAGCAGCGAAATTATCACCGTGGAACCATTGGCTAAAGGTATGGAGACTGCCCTTTATAAAACAGTCTGTCCGTTTGTCTTTTAAGAACACCGGTTACTAACATACCTTAATTGTAATTGGTGTTGTGGTTTGTTTATTTTTAAGTTTCAGTTCTAGGTTTACTGTATGGTCTGTCTGCGTGGCAATCAGAGGTATACCCGTCTTAGCTTTAATTGAGCTAGTAGAGCTGAAAACAACAGTGTATAAGGATGGCAGAACTGCAGGGGGGGGCTAGTGCCCTGACAATGGACATATTGGAGGGGGGGAGTGCACCCCCGCCAAGTTTCAGGCCTCAAGCTATCACATCTCTCTTGGAGTGGACTCACACATGCCTCCCAGTCTCAGACCAGGTGCTGGGCTGTAGTCCTCCGTGATTACTTCAGCAGGCCTGACTTATTTTCAGTGCCTGCAGTTCTGTTCTTTCCAGGAACAATGACATGGGACAGAGTGTTCATTGGTGAACGTGTGAGAAGCTCCTTTGGGGGAGAAAGGAGGAGCGCAAAGCTGTTTTATGTCAGCTCAGGACTGGTGAAATTACAATATATGAAAGCAAAAGTCACACTAATACAATGTCATGTCCTCTAATATAAGGATAGTAGGCAGTTTGCAGGCATGCAGGGTGTTTTGACAACACAGTAAAATAATGTGAGACTTGCAAGTAAGCTGTTGATAGCTTGGGCAAAACAAGCTCTCTGAGTTCATTTGTGAGGATCAAAGTATTTTATACTCATATATGCCTGCTATAATTTCAAAGCTAGTCATTGTTTTCTAAGGAATTTGGGAATTTTGTTTGTTTCTAGGTTAGTTTGTTTGTATTTTTTTTAGAATAATCTCAGAAGATTATTAGAAGTTAAGTTATGCGGAAATGTTTGTGTTCCAGATTTTCAAGCTGCTTTACTATCTACTTTACAAGCAAATAACATTAAAAGAGTATATAGTGTATGGAAAGTAGTGGGCCTTACCTTAGACCTTAGTTCCTCCTGTGCCGCTGACACATTGGGTAGTCCAGTTTCTCCATTGATTATGACACTAATTATGGTGGTACTTCCCAGGTGATACCAACACATTCAGTATCCTCTGGGACTGTCTTCTGCCAGTTCTTCCTTGGCCTTCCTCGCTTTCTCTTTCCTCCTTCCGGTACTCAATTCAGTGCTTGCTTAGCACCTCTCCCATCTTCTGTATGGTGTACGTGTCCCAACCATCTGATCCTTCTTTCTTTGATAATATTTGTTAACATGTCCTGCTCTGTAAGCTCCCTTCTCTCGCATTTGTTATTTTGTCTTTCTGTGAAATGTGTAGTATCTTCCTTAGCCATCTGTGATGGTGATGGGCAGCCATCTCTTTTCATTAGCCACTGTCAGTGGTCAAGACTCTGCTACAATAGGGTGACCAATACAATCACATGGTATAATCTGATCTTTACTTTGGTGTGGAGACTTCTGTTTGACCAGCTGTTGTGGTGTACTTTGTGGTAGATCCCTGCAAATCGGCAGATATCCACTTCAGATCTGTGGATCATTTTGGCAGATTGCGGATCAGATGCAGATACAAATTTTGTATCCGTGCAGGGCTCTATTTTGTGGTACAGATGAAGTGAGCCCTTTTATAATTTAAAATTTATAAATTACAAGAAAAGTAGCATCATCTTCTTTTATACTGTGAACATGTCCTTAGGGTGACCAGATGACCCAATAAAATCGGGACTGTCCCGATATTGAACCCTTTGTCCCGCGTCCCAATCAATGTACAATCGGGACGCCATTTGTCCTGATATTCAAGTAAGGAGGCAAGCGGGAGGGAGCCCCCATGGGGAAAAATTGCAGCCAAGCTCCCCCCTCCTCACCTCCTTCTCACTCCCTCCCCCCAGCACGCCGTGTCCCCGCTCCTTCCCCGCTCCCAGCGTTTCCCGCTGCCTAACAGCTGTTTGGCGGTGCTTAGCGCTTTCCAGGAGGGAGGGGGGAGGAGCGGGGATGCGGCACGCTCGGGGAGGAGGTGGAGAAGAGGCAGGGCAGGGGCGGGGACTTGGGGGAAGGGGGTGGAATGGGGGCAGAGCGAGGGTGGATGCTTGGGCAGGAAGAGGCGGGGGGTGGGTGAGCACCCACCCGGCAGAGGGGAAGTCGGCACCGTAGGCGTGAGTGGTGGGTGGGGGGGTGAAGAGGTGAGCGAGTGAGCGGCGGACAGGCGGGGGTGTGGAGGCGAGCGGTGGGTGGGGGACTGAGGAGGGACGCAGCAAGCCAGCAGGGGTCTGGGGGGATGAGGAAGGGCACGGTGGGGGGAAGGGGGCGGGACCTGGGGCGGAGCCTGGGAGGAGTGGGGGTGGACTGTGGGCGGGGCTGACAGCGCCCCAATGTGTCCCAATATTTTAGTGTTGTGATCTGGTCACCCTAATGTCCTGTGAGTTGCATTCTGTCAGTTTGCAAGTGGTTTGTGTTCCTGTGAAGTTATATGTTACTTCTGCACACCCTAATGATGTAGAGCACAAAATGTTGAAAACCATTTCTTGTCATAACCACAACTGGAATGTCCGCAGGGACCTTACATCTTGTGGATAAGGGAGAAGCGGTGGATGTGGTATACCTAGACTTTAGTAAGGCATTTGATACGGTCTCGCATGATATTCTTATCAATAAACTAGGCAAATACAACTTAGATGGGGCTACTATAAGGTGGGTGCATAACTGGCTGGATAACCGTACTCAGAGAGTAGTTATTAATGGTTCCCAATCCTGCTGGAAAGGTATAACAAGTGGGGTTCCGCAGGGGTCTGTTTTGGGACCTGCTCTGTTCAATATATTCATCAACGACTTAGATATTGGGATAGAAAGTACGCTTATTAAGTTTGCAGATGATACCAAACTGGGAGGGATTGCAACTGCTTTGGAGGATAGGGTCATAATTCAAAATGATCTGGACAAATTGGAGAAATGGTCTGAAGTAAACAGGATGAAGTTTAATAATGACAGATGCAAAGTGCTCCACTTAGGAAGGAACAATCAGTTTCACACATACAGAATGGGAAGAGACTGTCTAGGAAGGAGTACGGCAGAAAGGGATCTAGGGGTTATAGTGGACCACAAGCTAAATATGAGTCAACAGTGTGATGCTGTTGCAAAAAAAGCAAACATGATTCTGGGATGCATTAACAGATGTGTTGTGAGCAAGACACAAGAAGTCATTCTTCCACTCTACTCTGCGCTGGTTAGGCCTCAACTGGAGTGTTGTGTCCAGTTCTGGGCACCGCATTTCAAGAAGATGTGGAGAAATTGGAGAGGGTCCAGAGAAGAGCAACAAGAATGATTAAAGATCTAGAGAACATGACCTATGAAGGAAGGCTGAAAGAATTGGGTTTGTTTAGTTTGGAAAAGAGAAGACTGAGAAGGGACATGATAGCAGTTTTCAGGTATCTAAAAGGGTGTCATAAGAAGGAGGGAGGAAACTTGTTCATCTTAGCCTCTAAGGATAGAACAAGAAGCAATGGGCGTAAACTGCAGCAAGGGAGGTTTAGGTTGGACATTAGGAAAAAGTTCCTAACTGTCAGGATGGTTAAACACTGGAATAAATTGCCTAGGGAGGTTGTGGAAACTCCATCTCTGGAGATATTTAAGAGTAGGTTAGATAAATGTCTATCAGGGATGGTCTAGACAGTATTTGGTCCTGCCATGAGGGCAGGGGACTGGACTCGATGACCTCGAGTTCCCTTCCAGTCCTAGAATCTATGAATCTATTAATCTGATTTGTAATCTAGGGAGTAATTAACTTTTGACGTTACCTTCAGAAAGTAAGAAAACTACACAAGAAGGTTGGTAGGAACTTGGTGAGGCCTTTTACTGGAATTCTGCTGTATGAACACATTTTTTTCTTCAAGTCAGGGATCTTGCAGTAGTCCAAAATAGTAGTAAAAAATAACAGAAATTTTCAGTCAGTATAAGAGAGCTTAAGTAGTCTCAGAAACATTTTGAAAATATCAAAATGAAATATTCTCTTGACACTTCTGAAATGAATATCTGTTCCATGGGAAATTTTGCAATTTCATTTTTTGGACTTTTTTGGAATGATTATTTTTTGTTGAAAATTTGGAATTTTCAGTGGAACAGGAGGAATTCTAGTTTCCTTCCATCTCTGCTCACAAGTGGATTGCAGCTTTTACTGATACTTCAAGGTATCTTTGGGTCTGTTTTGTAGATAAATTATAGTGACTGCATTAACTGCTATTTTCTTAGACAGAATGACTAGCTTAAAAAAACACTCCAATGGTAAAATCTTGGCTCCACTGAAGTCAGTGAGAGTTTGGCATTGACTTCAGTGGAAGCAGGATTTCATTCCAGGTGGTCAGTCTGTGGGTAGACTTTGGGATTTTGTTTGTTTTACTTAGCTTGTTTTTAACTATCCAGTTACCTTTTCCTACTGTGTGGTCTTGTCATGCTTGTGTTAGTCTTTCCCAAAATATATGCGCCTGAAAATGGCACTGCAGAAAACAACACTGCAACATCACAAGTGACGACTGACTTCCTTCATGCTATTCTGGTGATATCATTTACTCAAGACAGTGCTTCATTAGCCTTGATGGGATGGTGGTTTCAGAAGTACCTGTACGTGTAGAGTAAGCAGGTATTTGTTGGCTGCTGTTTAGCATCAGCAAGTAATGGGCATTTTCAGTCTGGCTCTTTTTCTCTCAGCAATATACTGTAGTCCTACTACCTAGGCTTCATTTCATCTGTTCCTCTCAATCATTAGAACTGATTTTTGGTGTATGTTTTAGTTAATTTTTTTACCAGAGCAAATGTCCTAATAAGTTCAGGCTTCTACCACACATTAAGAGAATCTAGGCATCACAATCCAAAATGATTACCGGTACCTAATATATGGCTTCATTTTCTTTTCATGTATCCCAGCAGTCCCACTGCAGCCCACAGAAGTAATTTTCTTTCACTCTTCAAGACCTGTTCTATGTATGATTTTACTTTAAATATGATTTGCAGAGGATAAGAATCCACTGAG